CGGAATAGTCGGGTAATTATAAGAGCGGTCGGTCGGTCGCTCTGGGCCTTACTATCGTTGTTCGTTGTCTCAGTGGAACATCTGGGGAGTCAGAAATTGCAAAGCGAACGAAGGATAAGAAAAAGGGGGTGCGGTGGGACATGGGAACAGGAAAATGAACGCCCGTTGAGTCGTGAGCTAGCGACGAGCCAAAAGGGACGCTGAGATGTCGTTCCTTGCTAGAATGGAAGACGGGCAACCTTTGGATAGGCTGGTATTGGTGGCATGATTCGAGTGGTATTTGTGCGGGTGCAGCAGACCCACAAGCAATTGCCGTTGTTGGTGGTCGTTTGGTTTGCTAAAGGGCGACGATGACAGCCAAGCCTAGAAAACCACAACTGCTGGTTCTGGAAAAGCAGAACGTAAAAGGATGGATCGTTGTACGCGTCAAAGGACTATAATGGTGAGAAGAAAAGAGACGATAGAGTAAACAAGCACTCGGCAAGTGATAGTGCTATTAGCGAATATCAGCAGTTCCACTGATCACAGTTTGCTGTAACCAGCTATCAACAGACAAGCTAGACGACAACACTATGAACCGAGTAAGCAAGCAAGCTTAAGAAACCAAGATAAAAAAGGAACCAAAACCGCCTTTTCTCTTCCTGTCTAGTAGTCGTCCTCTGGGGCAGTGATCCCTTAACAACTGCAGTTGTTGCCAATGGGCCATCCTCTGATTCGCTGGGTACATACGAGAAAATACGCATGATACACAATGGAGAATAGTGCACAGCGAGGCCGATCTTTCTGCCTCTTATTCCTAAAGGCCTATGGGCGATGGGTTTCGACGAAAACGTTTAGGAGCCAGCGTGTGATGTGGTTGCACTGCTTGTGCCTGCGCAGATGAGCACTTTCTATCGGTGTTTAAGAAGGAAAGTTGTTAAGTTAAGCGACAGGATGGAAGCTGCACACATGAGGATGAGAAACACGCGAAGTTTTTTCTTTGCAGAACCGCAGTGGTTACTTACTATACTATGGTCGCGTCGTTGCTGGTGCGTGTGCCTGTGCCTGCTGCTGTTTTCCAGCGGCTGTAGCAGCGATATATCGTGACGACAAGAATCCCGTCCGCTGATAACCGCGCTGTCCAGTTCCGGCCCTCGTCCGTCGAGCGTAAGTGCACGTATCGCCGCCTCAACCTCTATCATGGCACCAGGACCACGAGAGCTGGTAGCTAGTTACTGTTTCGTTATAGTATATATTGTCTCTTCTCTTTTTATATAATAGGGTCCATCTTCTAGGCTAGTCGAGCCAGACGAAGCAAGCAGACCAGCCTCGAACCGGCTGGTCGTTCCAGCAACAACTGAAACCCTATAGTAGCTTTTATCCCTTACACCCGCTCCGTTCATCGTCGAATGCTGCTTGCACTCGGAGTAGTAGCCTTCAACATTGCAGATGGCGAAAAGAGCCAGCAAATAAAGAACGGAAAATCCCTTAGTCCGCTTGGCGAGTGCGTCGCTCGGGCCTCTTAACTGGGGCGTTAGGTAAAGATTGCTTAGCGTCTTCCGCATCAATAACAACAACGACTGCCACTCCTACCACGGTTTTTGGTGTCGCTGGTGCTTACTAACTGCCAAGATCATGGGTTTGCTTTTCTTATAATGTTATTCTCTCCTAGATTAGTTGTGTAGCCATCGTTTGTTTCCACTATAACCGAATCGTTTTGCCGTACCGTACACCATACTCTTGCCTCACACCCCTTTTCGTTTAGTAGGTTGGACAACATTGTCAACACCGATAAAATGAGCAAAGGGTAAAGCTTCTAAAAAAAAATATGATAGCAATTGGCATACAATTGGGAACTGCTACGCGTTTTCGTATCCATATTGGAATCCTTATTGCATTGATTTGTCTCTTTCCGACAATTCTGCATACTAGTATGTAAAGGCAAAAGATTCGCTTAAAAGGGCTTGTTTTTAGTTGGGTAGCAGGCGTTGGGGCTAGGCTGCATTGAACTATTGTTAGCAACCTTTTCCTTGTGGATCTATGATATATTACCGAAGTCAGTAGCTGCATTAGTATGTTTGGATCAAGCGATTTCATTTTTAGTATCCATATCCCACCCATTCCACTACTACTGCTACCGCTGCCGGCTGCAGAGGTCCGAGTCGAATGTGCCTGTGTATGTGTGTGTGTTAGTATGAGCTGAAGGGGGAAGAGCTCCATAGGCCGGTAGTGATAGCCAGCGGCAGGACGATGTCTCATGGTTACTCGTGAGTTTAGCGATGTCTTGATTTATCCTTGAGGCCACCCGAATCCACTAGTAAACCGACTGACCGATCGGCGGGAAGGCCGAAAAGCAGCGGCGGCGGTAGCCTAATATAGTAGTATTTGTCATTCGAGCAAGCCTATTTGAGCTACTGCAGCAGATATGAGGCAAGTAGGAGCAGTATCGCAAGACGGAAAAGAAAAGCTCGCCAGGAGCGTTCTTCCAACGAATGAAGAAGGTTGGATACATTGCAGTCCGTGTAGCATCGGAACAGAATAGCTGCTATACGATAAGCCAAAAGTCGCCGACCTTAGCTACGCTTGGTGGACCAAGAAAGAGACGAAGAAAGCTTTCCGCCTTTTTCCATGGTTGCCATCGTCACTGAGGCAAGCTGCTCCCTTCGCCTCGCACAATTGAAGCGATGCGACTACTGCCCCACTGGCTCATTCCGAGCTTTAACATAAAACTATAACACACATATATATATATATATATATATATAGGGGTCCTGATAGCGGCCTGGCCTCCGCCTGCTTCTCCTTCTTTCGCCTATCCCAGTGGATATAGGAAGTGTCAATTTGTTTTTACAGACTGCTGTTTCTCGCTTCTGCTCGTCGACTTGTTGGACGTCAGGTTGGTGGCCAGAAACCGGCATCTAACTCCTAGCAAACAGCAGCAGGCAGCGACAAGCTGCATGGCCCATTGCACTGAAGCGGCCTCGCTCAATGAAGCTGCACATGCGGCCTCAATAATGACTGCTCTGGACTTGACTTACGGCACAGAGTGGAACAAGTAAGCAGGGGAAATACGTTGGGAGTTAGACGACAGTTAGAAAGCTAGTGAACAGTATGAAGGTGTGAGAAGTGGTAGAGGAAAAACTCAGTTCAATGAGAAGGAACCACATATAGAAGATGTGGCCTTGGCAGCAGAAAGCGATTAAGCCAAGTAAACCACAAGGCTTCGTAAAGTGAAACGTGTCAGGGTTCCCTGCTTGCCTCCGACTCCCTCCCCGACAGCCCCTCTCAGCAACATTTGCCGACAGTTCGTTTGCGACCAACCCGGCTGTCGGGAAAACTCACCCGAAAGCGGATCCATTTTCCGTGCGCGTCGACTATGCTGCATCTTTCCCAGCGTGCAGACGACTGCTTCTACGATTTCGGTTGCCGGCGGCTGCCGTTACCAGTGCAAATGTCTATATGACAGACATGCGGCACTTGGACCGCGTGGCGGCGGCGTAATACTGGAGACTGCTGAAACTAAAATTCGCTCGCGTTGGGTTGGTTCCGTCTCGATGTTCTTAATATGGACTATTCGAAGTATACTTGACCAATAAGCATCAGTTGGTAAAGATAGGGCTGCGGTGCAGGGGATTCAAGTGAATAAGGCCAAAAGATACAAACATAATAGTGTCCTTACAGTAACAGTAAAAAAGCAGCTGGCCGAATGCAGTGCAGTTACACATCTGTTGGGTAGCGACGACGGCCGCCAGAGGGCGAGCAACCAAGCATTGCTTTCCGTCATTTGTTGTGCAAACTAATGAACACTCTTTTTAGAAGGAAACTTCTCGTAGAAAACCTGAACCACACAAATGATGGACATAATCACTATGTATGATTATATTAAGCTACTCCCTGTAGGTACACGCGTTGTCCACGAAGCAAACGGCAACTTCTGTACTAAACACGGTGAGTAGGTAATCGTGATCGAGGATGAGGGACTGACCTTACCAGTGGCTAAAACTTACCAAACAGAACTGCCGAAGGGCCCCAGAAAGCAGACAGCCAGTGAACAAATCTGTCATTCCGATAGAACACAAACGCTACCAAGGAATCCCCGCCGAGTTTAGAATGGCGCTAGCGCCAAACCACTCATAAACAGTATGTTATTGAACAACTACAAGCGTTGATCCGATAGGACAGAACTATACTCTGCGCAGAAACAAACTGTAGAGCGACAGCAGCAGTTTCAGGGGGCTCTATAGTACGATTAGCAGCGAATGAGCAGAAGTAACAGAGCACTCCAAAGAAAAATGTGGAATATTCATATTTAGCTAGAGGACACAAAACGGTGTTAACTTTTTTAGAGGGCTATAATATATAGTATATGATAAAGCTTAACTTTTCTACATACTACCCGATCGATAACTATCAGCTTTTTCTGAACTCTATGTATAGCAAAGAATATGCTTCAAAAACATCTTGAGTATTGGCTCGACGATCTACGTTAATAACTGGAAAACTGTTTTTTTTTTCTTTTTTTATTTAAGTAGCTAATAAATAGCGTACTATTAGTACGTGTCAGTTGAGAAGCTGAGATCTTGACGACATGGTCTATCTAGAATAGGTGCTTTATACTGGAAGAATATCTGAATGTTATTGTTGAAGAATCTATATTTCTTCGGATCTTCCAAGCGCGTCTTTAATGGTTTGATGATTTATCTATGTATTCTTGTTCGAAAATTTAGTCAGTCATATCTTGCTCCAGTGCATTGATACTGACGTCAATAGTCAATTGAAGAACTCCTCAATTGTCATACTAAGCTGTGTCGTGTTCTCAAGCAGGTTTACAGTTCAAGGACTTATCTCGAGCTTGTAATGTAAGCCTCCTTAACGAAAGGATATTCTCTGTTTTAACCTACCTTGTTTATAACATATGGCCACAAGCATCGCAATTACATTCTCCAAACCTGCTAAACATAGCTATCGAAGACGAGTGTATAAATAAGGACAATTTTTGTTATGAGTAAAAATATAAATATTCATTTTTATTTCGTTAAATATCATCGTTATTATTACTTTAGAATTATAGTTACAGTCATCGTTGACGCAAATTTTTCTGACGATGCCACGAGCGAACGAGTGTCCAAGCGAAGAGACCTTTGTCACTATCGACTTGTATGTTATTTCTAGATATTTTCCTCACGCTAGAAAGAAGTTAAGGGCCGATTGCATCCTTTACAACCATTTTCCCGTTGCCTCTACGTAAACATTTGATTTCTTTTACACTTTCGCGTGTCTGACACGATCCTCCGCTACATCGATCAGGCACCGCCAGCGTTTGCCTATGGCCCGCAGATCCACAAAAAACCATGTTTTCTTTTCGATTTCGGACGAGTTCTTTACGGCCCAGCCTCAACATTATATCTTTCGGTTGTTAATTTTTCCACTTACTTGAATTTATTAGAAAGTTTGCCTAACCACAAAATATATTATTGCATAACGAGACGATGTTTGGTTCTTCCTTCTTTTTGATCTCCATTTTGTCAACCTTATCCCTACGCGCACGGCAGCGAGCTCTAACGTTTTTTCTGCTCCTCCTTTTGTAAACGCTCTATTATAGTCTTATTGTTTCGTATGCGCCATCAGTTGCCATATGCTGCGTTGTGATCTGGTTGTGGACGCATTGCATCAGTTATCTTAATTTTATTATTGTATTTATTAGAGATTATCAAGACCGTCATTGCCGGCCTTGTAGCAAATGCTTCAGGCCGTGATTGGCCGACTGACAGTCACCGTCATGCGTTTATGTCAACGTATGGTTGCTTTCGCGGGAAGTTTCTAACGCTGTCAGCGTTTAGCAGGTGCTGTTTAACAGATGCTGAACCGGAGACACGATATCATCATTAGGTTTTTTTTTCATTTTTAATTACCTATTGCGCTACCTACCTTACTTATTGATCGTCGTTGGGCCACAGCATCGAACTTCGTTGAGACGGAAATGAATTGACGCATATTGCGGCTCACCACCGTTTACTACTTTTCTACATTACGCAACCTTTACGCAGTCAACAAACGAAGACGTAATTCATACGCCGATCGAACCGTTCACGCTTTTACGACGTCGTTGTAGGTGTATCTAAATGTATCCAGTTGAACTAAGTCACTAGTATGTCAGACATTTGTTAGAGTGGAAAGACGCCTCCTATATGCTCTTTTTTCTTCATCAACTTTCTCACCCGATACAGGCCTCCCGTCGCTACGACTGCCATTCTATGTTCCCATTGCCATCCCGCGGTGGCACTCAGTTGAGATGATCGGGCCCGAGCACGGGTAATCGTTATCGGCCTTGTCGTTCCTTTACCTTATTTTCGTTAGCTTTTTACAGCATTTGTTTCTAAGGGCGTAATGGCATACTGAACAGCTCGTCGAGCATGGCTATTCATTGAAGGAATCGACCATTATTTAATCAATCAGTGCAGCGCGGCCAGTATGGCCTCTCTATTTACCAACACACTGATTTATTTCGACTAGTATCGTCGTTCGAGCTCTCAACGGGACCGTTTACCAGATATTCAGTAGACGTCTTCCTAGATACCGTTTCATTGTTTCATTCTCTTTGCATCTACAATCATTCGTCCATCATCTGTCGCTATCATTTTGCTAATTATTTCCAGTTCTCTTCTTTGACTGAGTTGTCCTTTACAAGCATATGTACAGTCTCGGAGCAACACTTCAGGTTCTAACATCGCCGTCTCGCATTTTCAGGATAAACGCAACAAAGTTAATAGCAGTAGCTATAATGGTAATACTAGTTTCCATGATCGTAATATCCATCAGTGATCAATCATTACTCTGTTATTATTAAGACAGCTCTAAACAATCACTACTGTGCAGAGTCTCATAAGCTCTTTCGTATTGGGTTCGCTTTTAATTTATTTATATATTCGTTACCTTAGGCCACACGGAGCTTTCTGTCCTTCGGTGCGAAGCTATCACATCAACGCCGTCGGCATCGTTGCCGTCACCGTTTGTTGATGTCACAGCTGTTACGGTTATTGTATTGTCTTTATTTCGGCATTGTCGAGCGCTTATTTGATATCTTCTTGTACCATTTGTGTGAGTGTTCCTTATGTAACGCTATCTGCCTATGTACACGTAATATTTTTACAGAGCTTTCCCGTTCGTTTGTCTAGCCGGAAGTTGTCAAAGACCTATGAAACATGCAGATGTCACGGACGAAGATTTTCCTTGCGTGAGATAGTACACCATCTATGTGTATCAGTTAAATTAGCTATGATTTAGTTCGCCAAATAACGCAGAGTAACTGTTCTTCTAAAACAATATTCGAGGTTTTATTCAAAGATTGTATAGAATTTGAAAGGGTGTGATTGAGTAGCCGCCGACAACGACAGGCCATTGAGGTCCCAGCGTTTAGTCATCGTCATAGACGTGGTTCTGTTCTTTTCAAATCATCCGCCCTGTCGAGACTCACTTAGAAACACGCTTACAGATGGTTTATTCGTTTGATTTTCTACACAAGTATACACTAAACGTTTCGTGCATTGCTATTGGTTCCGTTCGTCCTTTTATTATAAAAACTTGCGTTCAGGTGGCGGTAGGGCAACGCGATACGAGAAATTATAGGCGCTGCTTGTATCACCTGTAATTTGTGAAAAACACACAGCAGAACAATCGTGGTAAAAACAAACGAGTTTGTGTGTCTTTTTCCCTAGCCAAGTCTAGGGATGGTGGTTTCTCTTTTGATATCTGTTCGATATTGTCTCTATCTAAAAGCGACCCCGTCCGTCTTGCTATCGCGGCAATGCAAAATGCACAGTGGACGTACGCACCTCGTTAGAAGGAACGGACAATACATAT